CATATTCTCAAAATAGTAGCATTTCCTTTAATAAATCTTGGGTTGTTCTCTAGAGGTGACCTGTCTCATATAAAAAACGGCCATGGTCCCTTGGGTCTGCTGGCAGAAGAAGTACCGCATACATATGTGAGGGCATTTATTGAACATATAAATGGACATTTCTGAAGTCTATAGCAAAATTAATTTATTGGTGTTTTGAAGATTCCTCAACTTCTCTTTTGATACAAATGTCAAAAATCTAAAAGGACGATTCATGTTCAGAAGAGATAAAAAATATAAGAAACCTTTGAAAAGCCATTACCTCAAGGTCAAGAGTTATCTGAATCACTGACATCGAGCAAAGGAAATTTACACCATAAAAAGTATGAAAAGTTTTTAAATTCATTTTAAGATTGTCAGTAGTTCAAAACCTCTATCATTTCTTTAAACCAACTAACACTTCCAAATGTGTAGAGACAGTAAGATCTGCCACATATAAATCCATGATTACTATTTTAGAGGCGTCATTCCTTACATGCTGTGTTCCTTTAAGAAATGGATAATTAATTAGTGCCTAGGAAGTCTATACTGGAGAACAGTTTAGACAGGACAGTATAATAATGTCCCCTTTTAGCACAGTAATAAAGTTGATAAACTGACATTTTCTACACAGCAATGCTCCTAAATTTTCACAATTTACAAACAAAATCATCAACCAAGAATCTAATCTCTCCAGTAATTAAATGCCAGCATTACAAAACATCAAAACTAGCACAGTAGTCCCAATTGAGTTCAGTAAAGAATCTGCCCAATTCTTCTCTCCTGCCTCGGTGAGGCAAAGCCCTGCCCCATTTATCAGGGCAGGGAAAATACCCCTCCCTTCTCGTTTTTGTGCCTGCTTGTGGGAGCCTGTACGTGGAGAGCTGGCATACACACGTGTGTGAGTGTGTTGGCCAGTTGGGGGGGAGGGTTGACGTGAAGACAGAAAATTAGATCATCTGTCATTCTCCCACCATTACATAAACTTGTAGTTACTAAAGTCCAGGTAGTGACTGACTAGCAAACAAAACATTAAGCTCAGTAAGTTTAATGTCTCCCAAGCAGGTATACACATTCCTGGAGAAGGGCAGGGATAAATAATAGTGAATAGAGAATTAATACCTGCATAATCTGTATACTCTAAATCATCTAATAGTATCAGCACAATTAGAACAACTTTCTCTTTTCTTCTAAAACTTCCTCTTCTAAGCCTTGATTATCAAGATACACGTTTCAAGTTGTGCAAAATTCCCTTCCCTGACCTCCTGACAGTAATTATGACTGTTGCTACATGGAAGGTGCTCAAGGCTAGGAGCAAAATATATATATTTTAAAAAGTGAAACAGTTGTGCACTCAGGACAAGTTTGAAAAGCCAATCAAATCCTTATCTCGAATCAAGAGGGTCCTGAACCAGAAGCATGCAAGAGAACACATCAGTACTAAGACTTTATTTCTGGATAGTTTACATGTAAGTGTGGCAGTCATACAATTGGTTAGTTATTCACCTGTCGAAATGTGCCTAACTTTATGTAAATAAGTCTATGTACAAGAGCATTCCTGAGGTAAGTAAGAAGCAAATATGAGACAGAACCTGGAAGGTCCTATCATGGGTGACTGTTCACTATGGTAGACAACATCTACTATTTCCACAAATGAGGCCAGCCAGCTCTATCTATCATGGTGGCTTGCCTAAGTTTTTGAGGCTCTGTTTTAGCCCATTGCAACATTTATTGACTACAATGATCAGTGACTTCTGAAATAAGTACTTGTGGACCAAATCAAAGTTGTATCAATTTTTTAACATAAAACACTCTGTGGACTTAGTTACCCTTAGCCTTTTGTTTTCTGACTCTACCCCCAGTTCTTTTATTAAGACCAAACAATTTTTTGGTCAAATTAGAGTGAAGGAGGTATAGTCTTGAAGCAAACATTCGTAACTGCTTCTATCCCCGTAGAACCTTGATCTTTAGCTTTCAAAATGATTTTAAGTAGGCATTTACAATTTATTTTCTTTAAAACTTGGTCGTCTTCTTTTTTTAATCATTATTTTCCATTACAAAGTAAGTTGAAACAGATCTAGATTTTCAACAGTTCTTAGAAAGACACTTAGAAGCTAATTAAAAGTTAAGCTATAGATCATAACAAAACAAGTAAAAGCTACAAAAATATTTCTGTCAGGAATTAAATACATATATTAAATACTGGACAGTGCAAAATGTTGAGATGAAGCATAAAAGGTAATGGCTGCAACCCTTACACAGTTGGAGACAGACAGTGGACGTTTCCTGAGTTATGTGTTTTGGGGTGTGGCATTAGAATCAGAGTGCTCCTTCTTCATGGAGCTGCAGCTGCTGGGCTTCTGCTGCTCGGGACCGGCTTGCGGGTCAGCAGTCCAGGCCTCACTGCGCATCCCTGGCTCCAGCACCTCAGGCGCCTCTGCTTCCTCTTCTCCACTCTGCTCTACATTGTCTTCCTCAGAACCATTGAGGGTTTTTCCAAGCTGAAGGGTTTCCATAGTTCTCTGGGTCTCTGAGACCCAAGACTCAATTCTACTATTGAGTTGCACTTCTACAGATATGGGTTCATGAGTATAATCTTCCTCTTCCTCCTCGTCTTCATCGTCCTCTTCTTCAAGCATGCCAGGGACGAGAGTGCTGGTGGTGCTGGTGATGGAGGAATTCAAAAGATCTCGGCAACTGCCATCCAAGGAGCCAGTCTCTGTGCTCTGCTGTGAGGCCCATTCCAAGTCGTCTGGCTTCACTTCCTCTTTGTCGCTTGCTGTGGATTTCCCAGCATTTGCAGCTGAGGTAGTACTGCCGGCAGCCACTACGGATGGCTGCTTACCAACAGGGGTTGTGTCAAGTGGAAGTTTACTGGGTTTTTCAGAAGTGTTGTGCTTACAGGAAACCTCTCTCTCATTTTCTGATGTTTCCAGTCCGTCTGAAGTTTCCACCATGTTTCTCCAATTTGTTTCTACAAATATGAAACAGATTTTTTAAAAACCAGAACACTGTTTCAGACTCGAGCAAATCTTAAAAAGCCCCCAAAATAAGAGGAAAGAACAAAATACAGAAATTTGTTGGCTTAGCCACTGATTGGAAAAACTAAAAATTTAGTTTATTTAGTACTAGTTTAAATGTTATAAAGGGAAACCAATTCTCAAAAATGTACATTTGAGATAAAGAAACAAGGAGGCAAAAATAAGTATATTAATGCTTCAGAAAACAAAAGATCTTATACCAACAGGAACTCAATGACGTTCATACAGAAAATCTGTATATACATGAAAATCAATGAATTGTCTAATTTCTTTGTGCCCTAGAGGTATACTGGGCTCAAGTACCCACAACTCACAGATGGCAGAACCAAGATGTCCCACAAAAATAAGTTCATGGGTTTGTACCATGCTCACTCAGCAAGTTATCTGAGTTATCTTTTGACCTGCAATGGGACATGTATTTCTGTTTATTATTTTTTTTAAGGCAGAAGTAGAAAGATTTATTGAAAGCAGAATATACTCTTAAGAAAAGGCAAAAGAGTGGAATGGCCAAAAAA